AGCCGTCAGGCTGTTCCTCTGCTCGGTCTCTCCCGCAGTCGGAAAATTCCTCCTCAGCTCATGTCTGGATCTCTCTGTGGAGCTTTTGCCCGCTGCCTGAGTCTTCCCTGGAGGACAAATCCACCCACCGCCCTGAAGCGTCCCTGCCCGGGTCGGAAGGCAGACACCCCGTCTCCCCTCCTCCTCCTCTCCTGGAAGAGGCCAACTTCCTCCCACCGCCTTTATAGGATTTGGCCTCCAAGCTCCCCACCACGTTTGTCCCTCTCTGCCTGCCTCCAGTTCAAATCATCTTGGGGGGGGGACTACAGGACATCTCCCATTCTATTCAGCACCCGAAGCCCGGATTGGAATCATGGTCTGGATGGTTGACTCCTGGCTGCTTCTCCCATTTGATTTCAGGCAGGGGGGGGGGGGGGGGACCTTCACATTTGGGAGGGGCTGCAGTTCCCCTTGGGGGTTCCAGCAATGTTAACAACAAGCTTGGCAGCTGTATGACAGAGGGCACTGGGCATGAGGAAAACCATCTTTGGAAAAAGGAGGTGGGGTTATCAAAGAGGGTTTGGACACACCCACATTTTGCATGGAGCACCCCAATGTTTCGGGCTTGGACCACACCCCCTTTTCCCCCTGGGTCAGATACTGTGATCCCCTGACCCAAGCGGTTGCCTCGTCCAGAATCAGAGGACCCTCCTTCACCACCGATCCCCCCGCATTGATGCCCCCCCTTCTGCTTACTCCAAATCTTCGCCAGGGGCTGTTTCAGCCCCCAGTGCTCCACCTGGCAGGTATAGTCGTCCTGCAGGGTCGGGATGAAGGGCAGGTAGGAGAACCTGCGGAAGGCGTTGTTCTTCTTGGGGTAGTAATCCATGGTCTGCACTCTGTCCGTCACCGGCTGCCCGTTCTTGAGCCAGGACATCTTCAGCACGGGGGGAGAGAAATCGTCCGCCATGCAGATCAGAATGTTGGGCTCCCCCACTTCCACCGCCTTCTCCGGGTACACCATCAGTTTTGGAGGCACTGCAGGGGGGGACAAGTGGGGAGAGAGGAGGTGGGCTTCAGTTTGGGGGGTGCCCCAAGGGACCTCTGGCTCGCTCCAGCTCTTAGAGGAAGAACCACATCCTTAAAGGATGGGGACATTCCCAGGAGGAGGTCTGAATGAAGTCTGGCTGGTCAGGCTGTCCACTGCCGGCCGCTAGCCTGGAAGCCAAAGAGGAGCGGCGGGAGACGCGCCCCCCCCAGGACCAGGGCTTCGCTTCTTGGCACCATTCGCAGTCCAAGGCAGGAAGGGCACCCGGGTCTCGCCTCCAGGTTGGGCCAGCTTTAAAGGTTCAAGGCAGAGGTTCCCCACGTGGCATCAGGGATGCCAACCAGCTCGTGGCACCACTCTTAAGCTTCCTGCCACTCTGGATGTTTTACACTATTAAAAAAGTTTAATTTTGGAAAGGAAGAAAAACGTCGTTTGGTTTGGAAGCCCCCCCCCCCCCCGTCCCCCATGAAGAATAAGCTGGGCAGGCAGGAATAGTCAGGAGGGAGGGTCAGAGGAAGAGGCTGGATCCCCGCCCCACAAGGCATCCTCCTGGGATCCACTTTGTCCAGGCGGGCCTCATCCAGGGATATCCACGGGGGCAGGTCAAAAGGGTCAAGGTGGAGCTACAGCCATTCATGTGAGGAAGGGGTAGGGCTTCCACAGCTGCATGGCCTTGGGCGCCATCTTGACTTTTTTGACCCCCGGGAGAATTATTCAGGCAGGGCAGCGGGACCAGCGGGGGAGGGGGATGGCCCGCCCGTACCGTTGGTGGCGGGCGTCTCGTTGGACCGCTTGATGAGGATATCCAGGTTGGAGCGGAGCACGGCGATGTTGCCCTGGGCCCCCTCGGCCTGGAAGCTGGTGACCTCCCCGAACTCCGGCAGGCGCCAGACGGTCTGCTTCTGCTGGAGGTCGACGTGGAAGATCTCGTCGTCGTCAAACTCGAACATGAACTCAGAGCTGCTGCTGGTGTTCTGGCGGGGCCGCTGGACGAAGGCCACCTGGGAC